TGTGTGTGTGTGTGTGTGTGTGTGTGTGTGTGTGTGTGTGTGTGTGTGTGTGTGTGTGTGCGTGTGTGTACACAGGAGATACTGTGAATAATTTCAAATGCCTTTTTACGTGCATACTTTACTTCTAGCTACAAGTGATATGAGAAGTTAACACAAATATGTTTTTTCTTTTAAGCCGCATTATAACACCTAATTATCAGTTAGGCAAACAAAAACACACACAGAGTGAAGTTTGCAGAGCTGATTGTAGTTTCTCCACTTTTGAAAATCTTTCTTTTTAAAATGACTTTTGCCTTGTTACAAGATGCATTTGCTTTTACAATCAAATTGTACATTTCCCTGAAATACTGAAACTTAAAAATCCCTTTGCTAATTTTCTGACATTGCCTCGACCTGGAAATAAATCCATTACTTTTCTACCGAGTGTCAACACCCTGATAACAATGAAGCATATATTATCGCCCACACTTGGAAGAGTTAAAAGTTAATTTAACTAACTTAAACTATACCGTTCAAGTGGCGTTGTATAAAATAATTAAAGATAAAACACAATCTCGTCACAACACTCATCTGGTGGCACTAACCACATAAAAGGTATGGCGGAATTGTCTCCATCACTGTATATCTTTGGTAGGGAACATTCACACTTGATGCAGACTCCGAGTCTGGAACAGAAGCTATGACCAACCCCATCTTTGTAATTAGTCTCCACTTCCATCTCTAGAAATCGGCACCTAAGTCCAACCGGCTTAACCTGCCAATACCGTGAAAAGACTTATCTTAATACAATCTACTTTTGTTGGCCGCGTGTGAGCTATCATCTATTCAAGCAAGAATATATGTAAATATCTACTGTTTGTGAGATGAATTGTTCTTAATTACTAATGGCTCTCGACCATCTTACATATTAAGAGGTAATAGGATGCTGAGCACACATGATATACATTTTGTAAAGCTTTATGACATTCTCTAAACCAAGCAGCTGTGTGGAAGAAAAGAGCGACATCTGAGGTTATATGACGTATGTATCTATCAATAATGTGTACATGTAAACAATTCGGCAGTACTGGTGTAAAATTCATGCTGAAATTCCCACCAGGTTATTGTACTATAATTATTATCATAATCATTACTATCATTATTTTTATAATCATCAATATCATTACTATTATAATCATCAGTATCATTATTATCATAATAACAATAATAATAATAATAACAATAATAATAATAATTATTATTATTATTATTACACAAATAATGATAGAAAACCCACAACGTAAAACTAGATTTATTGAAAGTGAGACTACAGTTTCGGAATCCACCTGGACTCCATCCTCAGGTCTGAGGATGGAATCCAAGAGGATTCTGAAACTGTAGTCTCACTTTCAATGTCGGGGATCTCCCTTACCAATTCTGCACGATCTTTTCTTCTCCCGCTTTCCTCTTCTTGATTTGTTCCGCCCCTTCCCCTGTCCAATTCCTAAGATGTGAGAGCCATGTTGATAAGATGAAAGGCTGACTTCGTGCCAGGCATGAACGGTCTTGTACTTGTGAATTATATCTATATATATACTTTGGTATATGCTCAGTAAAACAAACCTTTTTATTTTCTTCATTTACTTTGACTTTTACCCACATATATTGCTACAAAGAAACGAATTTAAGATAAGATCCTTTCGAACAAATGTCTTGAATTGGGAAGCATATTTTTTGTTTTTCATGACACTTTTAAAAATTAAGAGAAAGGCCTAATACACAAGTCCAACCACCTTAACTTATAGCCCAACTCACTTTGACATCTACACCCTATCCTTTTTTTGCCTTGACCATTCTCTTTGCCTCCCCCTCCATCTAGGCTTTCATTGGTCATTTCTTGCCCACCTCCCTCATAATTATCACTTTCCTATTCACCTTTCTCCCATTTCCTATGTTCCACTCCCCAACCCTCATGCTCTTGCTTTGATAGGGATACAGGGATACTTTTACCCCTATCTCTACTCCTCTTCCCCCATCATCCCTCTCTTCCACTTCACCACTTCCGACATGCATTCATAATTCATAGTCACTGCCCTGAGTGCTGAATGCACCAAAACACTTCGGTTGAAGCATACAGTATGGAATAGTTATCGCTACAAGTGAGACACCCTCAACCAATTATCAGCCTTTATCACATTTTAAAGAGCATCTACTCGACTTTATCGCACAAACCAAATTACCTTGCTCCTATCCTATATATCCATAATACCCTCATCTCTGATCTTTTCTAAATTGCTACTTAATTAGGCACATATTTCAGCCAGGTCTGCAGTGGCTCTCACCTTTTTCCCCATTTCTCTTCCATTAAACAGCCAAAGAATGTACTCAAACCTCCTTACCCTCTACAGAGTCCTATAATGCCCTCTCTTCTGCTGACATCGTTTCTGCTTTACAATCGTGCCACAGCACATATAAAGACCCTGAAGGTATATATTCCCGTACACTCTGACATCTGCCACTT